CAAAAAGATATAACCTAGAGAGCAAGGAGCTGAATTTAACTGCCTAGATGACTTGAATTTTCCTAAGATTAAAACCTAGCTAGCCCTAAGTTCATAGAACTTTAGAATTTAAGAGGTTGCCTTTGGAAGCCCATGTTGCTAGAATTGCTGCTGTCTAGAATTTGAAGGCAGGGCTTGCTTATATTTATTCATTTCTTGATCTCCTGCAGCTAGCATGATTGGCACTTAGTAGGCACTTGATGTTTGTGAATCTTTTATGTTGCAAGATGAAGCCAAATGAAAATGTTTAGATATAGTATATCTAAACCAGATACTATATCTAAACTAGAAATTATGGTTATTTTAAGTGGATGCCATGTGTTAAGTTCCAAAGCAGCCCTATGAACAGAGTGCTGTTGCTGCAGAGAGAAGGGGAGTGAGTAATTCTGCTCATGGCAGACATAGGACACTTTATATTATGTATATTTTCCTAGGCTGCAAAAGAAAGCTTTTTTCAGAGATAAGTTTTTTCTCATCTAGGAGCCAACAGCATATTCTTCAACCCTCTTATCCACATTTTTGTCCTTTTTGATGCATTATGTTATAAGGAGATTAAATTAATGATTTCCTATCTGAACATTCTTGATAGTGCTTTCCTTAAATCAAACAGAATAAGTATTTTCTGTGGTTATTTCTATAATGAAAAGAATGTAGATTTTGTACTCGGGTTTAAATTTGGTCTTGTTGAATTCCAGCTGCATGTACCTAAAGGAAACAACCTAATCTTACATTTCATTGTCTCTGTTCACAAAAATGGGATTACTCCCTGCTCTAAAACAGTGGTAATGTGAGGATGAAATGATTATATGACAGCAGTATTATTCCTGGCACATACTAAGAGCTCAGTAAATGTAATTTCCATTTTATTCAAGGAGAAGATTGTACAAGTGTTCAGAACTATAGTACCTTTTTGACATTGGTGAAGTGTTACTCAGTGAGGCTCAGTGTGCCTTCAAGCTTCTATTTGTTCAGTATATACTTAGTACCCAGTATACAAGCATTGAGATAAGAAGAGATTTTAAATTAAAAGATAGTAAAGATACTGAGAACAAATTTACAGGGATTCTGAGAAGAGGGAAGTTAAAATAAGTTACAGTAGTTTGATATCCTTCCTGATTGGAGCATAGCTGCTGCCTTGTTCCTCAAGACAGGAGAAATAAAATAGAAACTGTTCAGGTATGAAGAAGAGCTGAGAGATCAAAGGCCTAGAGTCTTCCTGGGAAAATATTTTTTGTTCTAGAAAAGCTGGAAGAATCCTGAATGTACTATTACCTGTTTTTCTGGGTCCATAAATAGCAGATCCTTTATGTTTTCAATGCTTAGGACGCTGAAGCCAGAGAGTGAGCTGCCCCTTATTGCATGTGTCTTTTAAAGCATGAGCCAGGTAACACATACTCCTAGTTCTCTGAGGTGTTTCTCTTAAAGTACAAAGCCCTTCAGATTCTGTACTGACTTATTTCCTTAATCTTATTGATTGGACTTCATTTTTCTTATCTCATCTACTCTATCCAGCCATACTGGTTTCCTTCCATTTCCAGGAGTAATGTGGTTTGAAATGTTACCACCTCATAACCTTTAAGACTTGGCTATTTTTTCTATCTATAAGCATCAAACTTTATATATCCACATGGCTTATTTCCTCTGGTTTCTATTCAAATGCAATCTTAATAAGCTTCCTCTGAATGTCTTGTATAAAATTGCTTCCCCCTATCATATCAAGCACTATTCCTTCTGTTTTCCTTCCAAAGAACTTAGAATCATCTGACATATATGTATTTTTAAAATGATTTGTTCATTGTCTCTTCAGATCCTATTGGGACAAAGTTCCATGAGGGCAGGGATTTAAAAAATCTTTTTTTTAGTTGTATGTGAATTCAATGCCTTTATTTGTTTTTATGTGGTGCTAGGATTGAACCTGGTGCCTCACACTTGTGAGGCAAGTGCTCTACCACTGAGCTACAACTCCAGCCTGGGATTTTTTTTTTTTTTTAAGTGCCAAATTTCCATTGTCTAACTCGAAGTTCTCAATAAAAATTTGTTAAATGGATACACTGTTATCCCCTGAGCTATTAAGAAGAACTTTTATAAAGTCTCTGACTTTTCTGGCACTGTGAAACCAAAACAGAGCCTTTTCGAGAGATCATTTATTTAATTGGTTAATATAAGCATGTACTTTGAAGTATATCGACCTATAGTTGAGTTTATAATTTGTTCCTGTTTATCTGGGAATTCATAGTGATTGATATATTTGATTTCAGCTTAAAAGAATGGAATAAAGTTTGCAGTTAATGAAAGGATCAGTAAAACTGGTAATGTTTTTGAAATTGGTGGGAAAGGGTTGGAAAAGGAGAAACTAGTACGTGTCTAATAAATATCACAAGAATTAGTTCCTTTGGCAAAATGTGATGGGAAGTCATTAGAAGATTTTGAGGGATCTAATTAAACAAACATTTGAGGAATTTGATTTTTAGTCATTAGGATAGATTTAATAAAAAGAGAAGTCAGAATATTACAGACATGTACAAAGATTATGGACATAAATTGTTTGGTGCATTTGAGGTTTGAAATAATCTGAACAAAAACATTGAAGAAGAAATGGCCAAATGAGGAGAAATTGAGGAAAAGCAATAATGAAAAGCTGATGGAGTTGTATGGTATAAAGGAAGACAGCAGGTTTAAAAAAGTTGTTCCTTTAGAGGGTTAGAAGAGTAAATTTTGAAGTATACCATCTTGGCATTACTATTATTTTAGAATATGGGATAAGATATATAATTCATTCTTGGGTCTTCCTAGAAAAGAAACATAATAAATGATGTGGCAAAGTTTTGCTGCTGGCTGCTTTTGAAATAAGTTTTCTTTTCTATAGTTGCCTAATTGGGAACTGGTGTTAGGTTTTCTTACTAGGGGTAACAATGTGTGTTATTTCCGTTAAAGACTCTGTAATTTGGATAAGATATTGGTGTGTTTTTAGAAATACAGAAATGGTTTGGAGGAAAAAAGGTTAGATATATCAAGATACTTCTTGCAAAAATTTGAGGGGTTTTAGAGTTTCTGCTTTTTTGGATAGTTTCCTTCTGAAACTTAAGGCTATGTTTTACTTCTACCATTGTTAATTTAATAAATTTGTCTGTTAATTTAATAGGTGACAATATGGGGAAACAAGTTGCATAGGGAAGAAAGTATCCTCTTGGCTTTTTAGATATGTTATGCAAAATTGTTGTTCTTGTTAGCTTTCTCTGTGTTATCCCACCCTGTACCTTCTTACTTGCTCAGAACTTACCCTCTTCTAGCTTCTTGTCAAATACATTTTTTGCTTTGGTGTTAGCACACAAAGTACCCAGGTAGCACCATCAGCATTTTTCAGGCACTAACTCTATGTCCAGTACTGTCTTGGCTTTAGTCATATAAAGGTGGATGAAATGTGGTTCTGTTGTGAGAAACTCACAGTGGAGCAGTCTGGTGGTAGAACATTCTTATTTATTGATATGCTTTCATAGTGATACTTGTATAAAATGAAAAAATAATGCTATCATTTTTATTTAGAACTGCATGCATTTTCCTATACAGAATAAATTTATGTTAAGTAGATTGACAAGGTATTATTTTTGGTAGTATGGAATTAACTATAGCTTTATTTCAAACTGTTGAAATTTTACATAAAAATGTTATTAAAAAGTATTTCAATCCATGTGTTTTGATTTTTAATTTTTAATCTCTAAGTTACATTCTTTCTACTCCCCTTTTAAGTTCTTTTGATTATCTATTTTCCCAAAATTTTTCTTCCATGGTATTAAAGTCGTTTTGTTGTATGGGAAAATGTTGTCCAAAAATCTATTAGCAAAATAAAATCTCTTGTGATGATAACAGGATACGTTTTTTTTTTCTCTCTTGCTTTTTTATTGTACCTTGTTAAACTGTTCTCTCAGATGAACTTTCTTAGAATCAGGCAGTTCCTGGTTCCTATGGGACTTCCTGTTTTCTCAAATAAAAATAGAAAAGCATCTCAGAAAGGAAACCTGGTCAGTGTGAACTACTTTGTAAGATCAGCTAGTTTTAGTTGTGACCTAGATTATATAGATATATAATCTATAACATATATAAAAGTTTTCAACTGACAAATTTGAATATTTTTGCATATACTATAAAGAGAGATGATAGAAGGTTCTGAATAATCTTGAGATGCCATATATGTTCAACCATTACTTATTTATTATGGGGGGAAAGGATAGGAAGATTGTATGGAAAATATGAAATCCTTTCATTATAATTTAATATTTTATTGGAAATTCTTAGTTGTTTAACAGCGAGACCTAATTCTTAGCTACTTTGATCAGTATATTTTTTTCTTTCTACTTTTCCATATGTTAGCAAAGATGAGGAAGATGTTCTTTAGAAGTTGGAATTCTAAATATTTAAAACTTAAAGCATCTTGTAGTTAAGTAGTAAACTACTTAACTACTTGTAGTCTACATTTTGAAGAGAAATCAAGTTAAGGTGCAAGCATGATACAGTCATTAACAGTAATAATGGGTAGTATGCATTAGTATATATTAAGTGCTTGACACTATACTAGGCATTTTATGGATTATCTTAATACTGACAACAATTAGGTAAAGTAGATGGATCATTGTTATCCCTCTTATATAAAAGAAGAAATATAGCTTAGAGTGGCTAAGTAGATATTAGTTTAAAGGGATGTTGTAAAAAGTAGTAAAGCTGGTACTTGCATTCAGTGCCTGACACAAAAACACTTTCAATGATTATGAGAAAATTGTGAATTCAGAGTGAGAATGGTCATTAGAGTATGTCTGAAAAAATCACTTCCCTTTCATTATCATCAGTTTGCATATTTACATTTGGTTTTAGTAAAGAATATACTGGCATTTCAGTGGGCTTGTTTAGGGGGGTTTAAATTCTTAAGTGATGCTAATAGTTCTTTTTTTTTTTCTTTTCCTTGATAGTAAAAAACCCCTTTGATGAAACATTTGGAAAAATACAAGTAAGTAAAAGACCATAATACTGATACTTTGTATTATGTTTTATGATGAAAGTATTAAAATGACAACTTTAAAAATAATAATTTTTAAGTTTCTTTTAGTCTCAAAAAAATACATTTTCTTATTCCGAGTATTCCTTAACTACAATGTGATTAAATTTGACACATATTTTCTCCTAAGGATTGAACTGTTTATCATTTTGAAGCCAACTGCTAAGTAAAATGGAAGTAACATGTTTTCTATGGATCTGGGTCTTACACTTAAGTATTAATGTATTAAAGTATTAAGTTTTAAAAGTGTGTCTTTGTCTTATTGTTGGATGCCTTAGCAGTTTTTGTCCTCTTTGTCTTCATCTTGTCTCTGAATCTTTCACATCATAAATTGGCATGCCTAGCCAGTAAAGGATTTAAAAAGAGTTCATTTCAAAGAATGCTATAATAAATTTTTTTGCTACGATAATTTTAACCTAGATTTTATTTACATAAAAACATTTTTCACTTACCATTATTATAGGTACTTTGAAGGTTAAGATGTTTAATCTTTTATATATGTACGTGTGTTTAATATATATATACACATATGCATTCATATATACAATAATGCACACCTTGTTAATTTTTTATTATAGCAACTGACAGTTACATAGACTATATAGAAATGTTTGTTTTCGTACTTGAATGGAAGAATGTTTAATAAAGAAGTAATCAGACTCACAAAATATTAAATTGTTAAGAGTGAACCTTTGAAATAATTATGTTCAATAATATTCTATTGTGATGACATTTAAAATAAAGTTGACTTTATCAGTTGCAGTATTGAGTTTAGCAATATGACAATATCAAAATTTAAGGTTAGTACAATATACTCACTGAACTTTGGGAATACAGGACTATATCCTTCTGTGTAATTTTCCCCTTGGGGTAAACTGAAGTTCTGAGCCTCTGAATGATAGTAATAATTATAATGAAGATAATGGCAGTTCACTTATATGGCAGTTCACTTACACTAGTGTTTATTCTTTGCCAGGCACCATGCTAGGTGTTTCAAGTCCATTATCATTTAATCAAAGGGTTGATAATAGTTAAAAATGTCATTGAAGAGAAAATGGTTGAGGATAGAGGAGAGAAATATTTAAAGGTTGACCGTATATGAGAAAAATTTTGGTAGGGTTACCCTACAGGTTTTTCAACCTCATGAGTTAAATGTTTGCTTTAGGAAATGATATATATAGAAAAACAGTAATCTGAACCTAACTAAAAACAAACAATTAGAAGGTAGCAAGTTTAAATTATAAAATTATTTTTGTTTAATTAAAGTTACTTGAAAGCTTTTTTGTATTATTAGGTCTTCAGTTTGTAGGGGAGATAAAGGAAGCTAGTAGTTAGACATTTCAGACTGAAATGTTAGGAGGCAGTCTGAAAAACAGAGAAGAGAAGAGTGTAATAAAACTATAAACCAATAAGAATGTAACTTTAAAAATTTTATTTGTATACTTTTCAAATTTTCTGCTACTTTAGCGTATCTGCTACTAAAACTAATTGAATCAAAGCCTTTCTATTTTTTTTCAAAATAATTATGTTCAATAACATTCTATTGTGATGACATTTAAAATAAAGTTGAGGGGCTGGGGATGTGGCTCAAGCGGTAGCGCGCTCGCCTGGCATGCGTGCGGCCCGGGTTCGATCCTCAGCAACACATACAAACCAAGATGTTGTGTCCGCCAAATACTAAAAAAAATAAAATAAATATTAAAAATTAAAAAATAAATAAAATAAAATAAAGTTGATTTAATCAGTTGCAGTATTGAGTTTAGCAATATGACAATATCAAAATTTAACGTTAGTACAATATACTCACTGAACTTTGGGAATACAAGACTGTTTCCTTCTTTATAAATAAATATAAAATATTTATATATTTTATACTTAATAACATATATCATGGCAATCTTACTTAATTGGTCATTTGGATAGCACTTTAGGCCCTGTAATATATAGACATCCCTTTGAATGAGTTTACATCAGAAAAATGATTTTTGGGGAAAAAAATGATAGTTGAGCTTTCTGAGTGCTTGAATTCTTTGAGAATATAACGGTATTTTTGGAATCCAGTTGGTTTTGTTATTAACAGCTATCTAGGTAAAAGAAATATCTGTGATTCAGAAGATAAAGTTTATTATCAAGTCTTTTGTGTTTATTAAAGACATAATCACAGAGGACAGGTACCAGATATTTAAATTTTGTTTTTGAAAGGAGGATAAGGATGGGTATGATCAAAAGATAGAATAAAAGGGAAATCAGTCTCTTCTTCAGATGAGAAACACTTCAGAACTTTCATTTGCCTTAACTCCATAACTTAATTACACACACCTTGGTTTTATATATCAAGTCCGTAAATTACACTATGATTGGAACTTCTGCTCATTCTGTTGAACATTTGTACTGAAAATCCTTTGCAATTTACTGTATCACAAATGCATAGCTTTCAGAATCTTGGGTTGCAGCTCCTACTTTTACTTTTTATGTCTGATTTTTGCAGTTTGCATTTTTAATCCTAAGTGAAGTTAACGATTGGTTTGATAAGAATCTTGTTGATATAGAGTTGAGGGGAAGAAAAGGTAAAAGGTTTGAAAGACAAGTAGTCAACTGAAGGAATATTTGTGTCAGTCAAACAACATAAAACCAGGACTTTGGTGGTAGGATCATGGAACCTTTGATGAGTTTTTCCTCTTTCTAATGTCACTGAAAAACAAAACGAAATATTGACAAAAACATGTTACTTAGCCAGGTGCAGTGGCACACACCTATAATCCCAAGGACTTGGGAGTCTGAGGCAGGAGGATTGTGAGTTCAAATCCAGCCTCAGCAACTTAGCAAGCCCCTAAGCAACTCAGGGAGACCCTGTCTCTAATAAAATATAAAAAAGAGCTGGGGATGTGGCTCAGTGGTTTAGTGCTCCTGGATTGAACCCTTGGTACCGAAAAACTCCACTAAAACATGTTACCCACAGTGTGCAGACTTAGTTTCTTCTTTTTCTGAATATAAAGCATGAAAACAAATGGATAGATAAGGTTGCATGTCATTAGACACATAGATGTTACTTTCCCTTTTATATCATATCTGAATTTGCTCCAGAGGAAAGAAAATAATAAAGACAAGTCTCCTGATGAATCAGTAATTCATTTTAGATAGTGTGATAAGCAATGACCCCCCCCCCCCTCCTAACTTACCCTTCTTCATTGCTTATATTGGTCTGTCTTCTTGCAGTTGCTCTTAGATTGGGGATATCAGGGTTTTCGAATACTTGGCAGAGAGCTTAGACTATGCCATTACAATAGTTCCCTGTCTGGACTCCTCTCATCCTATACTTTCGTGTCTGAGTAATATCCCTGATATACATAAGTCTGGTTTACTTTCCTCCTAAATTTTCAGATTCTTTGTTTTAGTATCCAGCACTCTGTGGCAATTAATTCCAAACTACTTTTCTAGTAGTTTACTGAGTCAGACTAAGTTACTTGTTACATAAGAAATTTAACAATTGTTTTGTGCCATCATGCCTTTGTTCATGCTCTGCGTTCTGCCAAGGGATGCTGGTCAATTCTATTCTTCCAGTGAAACCTCAAATACTCTGCTCCACAAATAGGTCTTCCCTTACCCCTCCCTCTTATATATTTGCATTTTAGTTTGCAACTGTAATGTAATGCTGTGTATGTTTTTTGAACAGGAATCATCTTATTCTTTTGGTCTCTTACTTTGCTGACAGAACAGTTCTTGACTCCTACTTCTTCATTGAACATTTGTTTCAGTTTAATGGTTCATAAGTTTATACAGGGCCACCTTGGAAGCCTATGAGAGGATGAGGTCAGAGTGCTTAATATTTCTTCCCTTTGTTTTGTGTGGTTGAGGCAGATCAAAACAAAATAAAGGAAAGCCTTGATGTAAAACAATTCGTGAGAATGGTATCCATAGCTTAGAGAGGGATAGAAAGCTTTTCTTAGGTGGATGGGTGAGTTTACTAAGATTACAAAATCTTGTTAGCACCAGTCACAGTGCCAACTTCTTGATCATCCTCAAGAAAGTAAAATCTTTAAAGTGATAACTTAGATTTGTAAAGTAGGGTTCCTTAAAATATGGTGGCCGTGATTTAAATATAAATTTGTCTTTCAGTGAATGCAGAACCCATGATTTTAAATTTCCTGTTTTTCTTTTGGAATAACAATATACTTTTTTCTTGGGATTTGATATTTCATAATAACTTCTTTTAATTTTAGGAAAGTGAAAAGAATCTTATGATGAGCACATTATACAAGCTACATGATCGATTGGCACAGCTTGCAGGTAATTGTTTAGCATTCATAGTCTCTAAAGATGTTTGTAAAGATTAATTTGCCTATCTAGTGTGTTGTATCAGTGGAAATTGTCTTTCCAAAGCGCATTGTCCTATTTGTGGAATATTTTTCATTAGAAATTTTTATTACCTATGCATAGTACATTTTTCAATTTATGTAAATTTGTTTAGTCAAGGCCTTTTCTCTCTCTGCCATGAATTATAATACATATGTATATTGTATATAATTTTAAAGTCAACCTAATTTCTTAATTGCATTAATAGAAAAAAATTCTGGAATTTTAAATATTGGTTGAATTGGGTAAGTAATGAATTAATTAAAATCTTGGATTAAATATAAAAATGCAGATTTTCTTTTGGTGGTTATATAGGTGTCATTCCTTTGGACAAAGTAAACATATTCTAGAATATTTTTTCCTGGTTCATTGAATTTTCCGCATATGCTGCTGTTAAAAAGTTTTTGAACACTCTTGAGTTATCAACATGTCTACAATTAGAATAAATTGTTGCTTAAAACATATTCTAGAATATTTTTCCCGATTCATTGAATTTTCCGCATATCCTGCTCTTAGTTAAAAGTTTTGAACACTCTGAGTTATCAACATATCTACAATTAGAATAAATTGTTGCTTATGAATTAGTATCCCATCTGCATAATGCAAAGTACCTCTATTTTTCCCTAGCCCCCCACCTATTGTGAATTAGCATCCTCACCAGAGAAAACATTCTGCCTTTGGTTTTTGGAGATTGGCTTATTTCACTTAGCATTAGTATCAAGTAGCTATTAGTATCAGGTAGCTATAGTAGCAATATCTGTTTATTATCTTTCACTTTTTAAAAAATTATTCTTTTACATATAACCTGAAAGAAGAGACTTTGGATTTCCTTCTTATAATTAGTTGTAAGAAAATAATGTTTTTTAGTTCAGGTCTTTAATTCTCTTAAGTTTTTTAAGCTTATAATTCATCACTAAAAGTCTTTATATTGACTGGCTGTCATATTTGTGAATTGCAAGCTAATGACATATATTTATTACACTTTAACATCCCAAAATAGGCTATTTTCTAGCTATGAAATCCTGATGTTGCTAATACCAGCATCTATAGTTATCTCTGTAACATTGTCTTAATAAATGTAATCTGGGGCTCATTATATTAACACAATATGCTTTTAAAGGTCCAGATTTTTCTTCTAGAGTAGGGGTTGCCAAGCTTTTGTGCTTGGCCAGATAGTAAATATTTCAGGATTTGCTGGCTGGACTGCCTGTGTCACAACTATTTAGTTCTGCTGTTATAGCATGAAAATAGTAATAAATTCTACACAAATGAATAAGCTTGGCTGTATTTCAATAAAACTTCATTTATACAAACCATCAGCAGACCATATTTGGCTCTGGGATACGGTTTGCTGACCTCTGCTCTAGATCTATGGAATCTGAGTCTCTGAGGATCCATTATAAAGTTTGAAGACTTGTTTACCCAGTAGGCACTTTTTGCCTTCTTGAAACCGCTAGCATTAAAATGTTGCATGGACAAAGCTGATAAATAGGAACATGGTTTCTTTTGTTATAGAAAAATTGCCAAGGATTTTATTTTAATTTTATATATTTTTTTTGTTTTAATTAGTTAAGCATGACAGTAGAATGCATTTTGACACACCATACATAAGTGGAGTGTAACTTCTCATTCTTCTGGTTGTACATGTTGTAGAATCACACTGGTTGTGTAATCATATATGTACATAGGGTAGTAATGTCCGATTCATTCTATTTTCCTTCTTACCCCCTTCCCTCCCTTCACTCCCTTCACTCCCATCTGCATAATGCAAAGTACCTCTATTTTTCCCTAGCCCCCCACCTATTGTGAATTAGCATCCTCACCAGAGAAAACATTCTGCCTTTGGTTTTTGGAGATTGGCTTATTTCACTTAGCATGACATGCTATAGCTCCATCTATTTACCTGCAAATGCCATAATTTCATTCTTCTTTAAGGCTGAATAATATTCCATTTTGTGTGTGTGTGTGTGTGTGTGTGTGTGTGTGTGAGAGAGAGAGAGAGAGAGAACATTTTCTTTATCCATTCATCTGTTGAAGGGCATCTAGGTTGGTTTCATAGTTTGGCTGTTGTGAATTGAGCTATTAGAAACAAGTATGTGGCTGCTTCACTGTAGTATGCTGATTTTAAGTCTTTTGGTTATAAAACTGAGGAGTGGGATACCTGGATCATTCCAAGTTTTGTGGGGAATCTCCATATAGCTTTCCATAATGGTTGCACCAATTCGCAGTCCCACCAACAACGTATGAGTGTGCCTTTTTCCCCACATCCTTGCCAAAATTTATTGTTGCTTATATTCTTGATAATTGCCATTCTGACTGGAGTGAGATGAAATCTCATTAATTTTGATTTGCATTTCTTTAATTGCTAGAGATGATGAACATTTTTCATGTTTGTTGATCAGTTGTATTTCTTCTGTGAAGAGTCTGTTCAGTTCCTTAGCCCACTTATTGATTGGGATGTGTGTGTGTTTGTGTGTGTGTGTGTGTTAAGTCTTTTTGAGTTCTTTATATCCTGGAGATTAGTTCTGTGTCTGAGGTGCATGTGGTAAAGATTGTCTCCCATTCTTGTAGGCTCTCTGTTCACATTCTTGATTGTTTCCTTTGCTGAAAAGAAGCTTTTTAGTTTGATTCCATCCCATTTTTGATTCTTGACTTTACATCTTGTGCTTTAGGAGTCTTGTTAAAGAAGGCAGTTCCTAAACCAACATGGTGAAGATTTGGGCCTACCCTACGTTTTCTTCTATTAGGCGTAGGATCTCTCTTCTAGTGCCTAAGTCTTCAATTGACTTTGAGTGGAGTTTTGTGCATGGTGAAAGATACAAGGTTTAATTTCATTTGTTACATATAGGTTTCCAGTTTTCTCAGCACCATTTATTGAAGAGGTTATCTTTTCTCCAATGAATGTTTTGGGTGTCTTTGTCTAGTATGAGATACTGTATTTATGTGGGTTTGTCTCTTGTGTTTTCTATTCTGTACCATTGGTCTGTGTGTCTATTTTGGTGACAATACCATGCTGTTTTTGTTACCATGGCTCCATAGTATGGTTTAAAGTCTGGTATTGCGATGTCTTCTGCTTCACTTGTCTTACTAAGGATTGCTTGGCTATTCTGGGTGTCTTATTTTTCCAAATGAATTTCATGATTGCTTTTTCTAGTTCTGTGAAGAATGTCATTGGGATCTTATAGGAATTGCATTATGTAATGCAGAATGCCTTTGGTCATATGGCCATTTTGATTGTGTTAATTCCGCTTATTTAAGAGCATGGAAGATCTTGCCATCGTCTAAGGTCTTTAGTGTTCTGTAGTTTTCATTGTAGAGTTCTTTTACCTCTTTTGTTAGATTGATTCCCAAGTATTTTATTTTTTGAGATTGTGATTGGGCTAGTTTTCCTAATTTCTCTTTCAGTGGATTCATCACTGATGTATAGGAATGTGTTTGATTTATGGGCGTTGATTTTATATCCTGCTACTTTGCTGAATTTATTTATTAGTTTTAGAAGTTTTTCTGGTGGAGATTTTTAGATCTTCTAAATATAGAATCATGTTGTAGGCAGATAGTAATAGTTTTGAGTTCTTCTTTTCCTATTCATATCTCTTTAATTTCTTTCATCTAATTGCTCTGGCTAGAGTTTCCAGGTCTGTGTTGAATAAAAGTGGTGATACAGGGCATCCTTGTCTGTTCCAGTTTTGGGAGGGAATTCTTTCAGTTTTTCTCCATTTAGAATGATGTTGGTCTTAGTCTTAGGATAGATAGCTTTTACAATGTTGAAGTATGTTCCTACTATCCCTACTTTTTCTGATGTTTTGAACATGAAGGGGTATTGTATTTTGTCAAATGCCATTGTCTTTAAGTCTTTAATTGGAGTTTTATGCTAATTTAAAAAACTACTGAAAGTAATATGGCAGGAAAAACTTAAATTTAAGTTGAATATAGAGGATAATTTAATAACCATATATAATAGCATAAAGAAAAAAGCTTTAAATTCTCTTAAAAATGGTCACAAGAAAAGAAAAACAGTTTTCCAAACTTTGTAACATACCCCTTTAGAAACCAAATCATAGGTAGAAACTTCTACCAAATTTCCCTGTTGATTTGTGTCATCGCAGTTTTCCAGGTATGCGTTCCCCTTGCTAGAGATAGACATAGCTATCCTCTGAAAAGCTCATGTTTTAGTACAATAATAAATTTAAACTTATTTGAATTCTGGAATTATTAGCTTTAAGAATAAACGTGTAAACTAGTAAGTTAGCAGTGAATTTGGTGAAATTTTCCCCTTAAGAATAACACAAAACTGTAGAGGGCTACTTTTGTGCCAAGATCTATGAAAAGCCATCAAGGTGACATGGTTTCTACACAGACTTATAGTTTACTTGGGAATATAAGAGGAAGATGTATTCCTATCTAGACTGAAATGCATTTAAAGATTGTGATTTACATAAGGGTAACTATTTATTGAGTTATTGAAATTTTTAAAGAAAATATAAATTATATTGTTAATCTTTCTTTACTGATTATAGTAATATAACCTATAATTGTATATTTATAAAAAAAATAAATTTTAGTTGTTCTGTTTAATAATATACTGATTACAAATTAACAATATGCTAATCTTTTTAGGAGATCACGAATGTGGGAGTTCTAGTCAAAGAACACTTTCTGTCCAAGAGGCAGTTGCATACTTAAAGGTAAGTAGTGACATTAGAATTTTAATATCTGTTTTCTTAAAACTTATGTAAATCATTTCTACTGGTATCAAAGGATTATGAATTTGACTACTTCAGTGGTACCTTTAAAAGCCTGTGCTTCTTGTTTCATATGAGTAGATAAGAGAAATTGGAATTGCTCAATATTTTTTGTTTTAGAACATTCAGTCTGAGAGAATGTACATTAATTTGGAAAGGGTATAACAAACATCAGTTAGAGGCAGGCATGCTAGTTCTAGCTACTTGGGAGGCTAATGCAGGAGAATCACTTGGCATCTAGGAGTTTGATACCAGCCTGGGTGGCGTCAATAAAAAAGAAAGAAAATTGGTAAGAGGGAAGTTGAGACAGGTGAGTAACATGTAAGGAAGCAAGCAAGTAAGTAAGTATATACCAATTATTTCAAATCTGCCCTAGATCAGTTTCACCTCAGGGTTCCAAGAGAAATTACAGATGAATTTTCTAAACTACTATAAATAATCTTTGAAAATCCTAGATGAAATGAAAGGTACTAGAAGGTTAAAGGTGGACAAATGTCATTCTGACTTCAAAAAGGGGAAAGTGGAATTTGAAAACAATACTGGAAAGCTTCTTATCAGTTCAGTTCCAAATAGATAATTCCATAAAGATATGAGTACTTGCAAATGGAAACTTTGATCCTAAGAAGGTGACTGGCATGTGAACAAGTTATATCATGCAAATATTTCTCCCTTATCCCTCCCCTTTTTAAATATTGTAGTAAAATACATAACATGAAATCTACTCAATTAACATTTTTAAGTGTACAGTACAGTATTGTTAACTATATGCACATTGTTGTGCATCAAATCTCTAGAACGTTTTCATTTTGCATGACTAAAATCTTATGTCTGTTGCACAGCAGCTTCTCATTTTTCTCTCCCCCAACAGCCTACCCTCTACCCCTGCAACTACCATTCTACCTTTTGCTTATATCAATCAGCTTGACTTTAGATACCTCATGTAAATAGAATCCTGCACTGTTTGTCATCCAATAGCAGGGTTATTCTTTCAACATATCATCAAGGTTTGTCCATATTATAGCATATGACACTATTTCTTTTTTAAAATACTGAGTAGTTTCTCATTGTCTGTATATACCCATTTTGTTTAGCCATTCATCTGTTGATGGACTTTTAAATTGTTTCTGCCTCTGGTCTATTTTGAATATTACACTGTAGTGAACCTTGGAGTGCAAATACCTCTTCAAGTTCCTGCTTCAGATTCTTTTGGTTAAATAACTCAGAAGTTTGTTAGGTCCTATAGTAGTTCTATTTTTAATTTTTTGAGGAACCTACATACTGTTTTCCATAATGGCTGTTATGAATTTGCAGTTTCACAAAAGTGTTCAAAGGTTCCACTTTCTTCACATCTTTAATACTTGTTATTTTCTGAGATTTTCGTTTTGTTTTGTTTTGATTTTTGCACTGCTGGAGATTGAACCCTGGGCCTTGCAGATGTTCTACCATTGAGCTACATCCCCAGCTCATTGTGGTTTTGATTTGCATTTCCCTTATGATAGGTGATTTTGAGCACTTTTTCATATACCATTTCTATGTACCATATATATTTGTATATACATACACTATACTGTCTGTTGGCATTTGTATGTCTTTGGGAAAATGTTATTCAAGCCCTTAATATTATTTATTTATATTTTATTATTGAGTTGTTAAGAGTTCCTTACATACTTTATTAACCTCTTTTTAGGTATATGATTTACCAAAATTTTCCTCCATTGTAGAGATTCTGTTTCACTCTGTTCTTTGTTTCCTTTGTTGCCGATAGGTATTTTAGATTGTCTACTTCCATTTTGTTGCCTATGCATTTGGGTCATAATTAAGAAATCTTTGCTTTATATCAGCATCACAAAGCTTCTTCTTTATGTTTTCTTCTAGGAGTTTCAGGTCTTATGTTTAAGTCTTTAATCTATTTAGAGTTGATTTTGCTATATAGGATAAAGGTCCAATATCATTCTTTTTAAATTTTTATTTGTTTATTTTTTTAATGAGGTGATAAGGATAGAACCCAGTGCTTCACATGTGCTAGGCTAGTACTCTACCACTGAGCCACAACCACAGCCCCTTCAATATCATTCTTTTTGCATGTGGAAATAATTTTCTTAGTACCATAGATTGAATAGAATGTGTCCTGTATCCTTTGTCTTGACACTCTTATTAAATATTATTTCATCACATATAAGTGGTTTTATATGTGGGCTATTCTGTTTCTTTGGTCTATATGCCAGTTACCATACATATGTTTTGATTACTATCATTTTGTCGTAAGTTATGAAGACAGGAAATGTGAAGTCTTCAGCTTTCTCATTCCTCTCAAGATTGTTTTGGTTGTGTAGGGTCTTTTATGATTGCATATAAATTTTAGTATTTTTTTCTGTTTTTGCCATTTTTCATATTGGGATTTTATTAGAGTTTACACTGTATCAGTATAGCTTTGGGGGATATATAAATTGTGTCAGTTAAGTCTTCTAGTACATGGACTTGGGATGGTGTTCTCATATTTCTTTAATTTCTTTCAGCAGTGTTTTGTAGTTTTCAGGGTACAGGTCTTTCACATCGTAGGTTAGGATTATATTCCTGAGTATCTTATTCTTTTTGATGGTATTATAAATTAATTTTTTAAAGTATCCTTTTGAGATTGTTGTGTATATCCTGGAAATTTGCTAAATTCATTTATTTTAATAGGATTTTTCATGAAATCTGTAGTGTTTTCTGTGTATAAGATTATGTCATCTGTGAGAAGAAATTTATTTCTATCTTTCTGATTTGGATGCTTTTTTTCTTTTTCTTATTACTTTAGCTAGCATTTCTGGTAGTGTGCTGATTAGAAGTGACAAGAGTGGGCATATATTGAGTTATGATGTAGCTGAGGACTTTGCATATATGACCTAGTTTTTCAAGGTTTTTTTTTTTTATTTGTTTTTTTTTAACCATGAAATCATGTTGAATTTTGTTAAGCATTTTTCCTATAGCTATTGAAATAATTGTATTTCTTTTTTTTAAAGAGAAGATTTTTAAGATCTTTTTTAAAGATGTAATATTTGTACATCTCTATAAGGTACATTATGGTAACAATACATGTATATAATTTATAATAAATTAGGGTTAGAAGCAGATAATGATTTGTTTTAATCATCTGTTAATGTGCAATCACATCTATTAATATTCATATGTTGAACCATCCTTGGGTCATGGTGTATGAGTCTTAATGTGCTGTTGAATTCAGCTTTCTCCTATTTTGTTGAAGATATTTGTGTCTATATTAATCAAGGATATTAGTATATGGTTTTCTTGTATTTACTTTGTCTAGTTTTCATGCTGTAGTAATGCTGGCCTCATAAATTGAGTTTGAGGGTGTTCTGTTCTCTTCAATTTTAGGGGAAAATTTGAGTAGGATTATGATGAATTCTTCATTAATTAAGTCATAAAAATTAATGTCTTAGTCACCTTTTCATCACTATGATCAAAATATCTGGCAAGAATGATATGGAAGAAAAGTTTATTTTGCACTCAGTTTCAGAGGTTCAGTTGATGGTTCGTGGATTTCGTTGCTCTGGGCCCAAAGCAAGGTACAGCATCATGAAGTGACAGAGGAGAGCTGTTTGCTCATGACAGCTGGAAAGCACCGAGAGAAAGGAAGGTGCTTCAGGGAAGATCAACCCTTCCAGGGCATGCCCCCAGCGATCCACATCCTCTAGCTACACCTCACTCGTTTATACTTATGAACCAGTTAGCCCATTCAAGCGAAGATGAACTGATTAGGTTACAGCTCTCATACTCTAATCATTTTACCTTTGAACATTTCTATATTAACTTTTCTGCAGAAGCTTTTGGTGGAAACCTCATATTCAAACCCTAAGAGTTAGAAATGAAAAAAAATATATATATAAAATTTATATTTTGTGTGTGTATATTTATTTTTATTTTTTTAGAGTAGTTAAGTGTTTGTCAATCTTGTTGGTTTTAGACCAACTCCTAGTTTCATTGAGGGGATTGGATTGAGGAGGCCTAAGGGAACATAGAAGAAAATATTTTAGGAAGAAGGGTATATCATGTGGAAATTCAAAGCAAGCAAAAGCTTCCTTATTAAATAATTGAAAGTATTTTTACTTCTAGTAGTAGGAAGATCTGATCCAATCCAATCCTTCCTACTTTTTTCTTCAGTTCATGTTCATAGGCAATGGCATAGATATATGTTTTGGTTGGTTATAAATTCCTGGAGCAAGATTCATTGATGAGTCAGAAGAAATCCAAGATTCTTAAAAACAAAGTACTGTGTTTGAAGGAGTCAAAAAAATAGGATAGGCTTTGGAACAGGATAGTGCCTGGCCAGTAGTCAGTCTACAACTGAGGAACAAAGAGGCAGGGTTGGTATGTAAGGTTTATTAACCTCCTCTCTTTTTCTTCTCAAACCACTTGATTGCAGCTTTGAGTCAACAGTAAGAAAAGGTAAAAAGAAGGGACAGAGACCCAGAGAAGCATAGGGTGTAAGAGATTAGTTCTACTAAAGTCTTATAGCAAAGAATTTATTGGAAGCACCTATGGATGAACTGTGTTGGAAACCAAATCAGTAAAAAAAAGATATTAATGAAATGCATTCCTGAAGATATTTTCATCTCTTTTTCCTGGGATTATTTTATGTTTTACACTGGATTTTGCTTTTTTATATTTTCTTTTTTTAAAATTTATTTTTTAGTTTTAGGTGGACACAATATCTTTATTTTGTTTTTATGTGGTGTTGAGAATCGAACCCAGTGCCCCACGCATGCTAGGCGAGCATGCTACCATTTGAGCCACATCCCCAGCCCTATATTTTTCAATTCTATAGAATTTTCCATATTTTACAAAAGATTCTGTACTAATTTAATACCATGTCTTGGTTAAATGAAGTCATTTTATGTAAAATGTTAACATTCTTCTGCATTAGATTTTTTTATTTGTTTATC